TAATCAGAGCTCTTGACAAATGAAATTAATTTTTGCAAAGTTAAAAGAGCAAATAAACTTCTCATGACATTTTCCCCCTTCGCTACTGACCTATTTTTGGAGCAAAATAATGTACTTATGCCTGAAGAGAATGTATTTCAGCCTGAGGAATGGAAAACTGCCATGAGTCAAAATTTATTCACAGAAAAGCACAAGGCATTTAAAGTTGTCATCTATGCACAAGAAGGTAAAAAGTTTGCAAAATGTAGGTATGATATTGAAGGATTTACAATAACTTGAAAATTAACTTTCCCTGTGTTCTTAATCCTGTCATCTTTCAGGCTGGCATGAACCTTAGTTGATACTTACTGGGGCAGCAAATGCATTTCTTACATCATTTTAATTGAGGATGTGAAGGAATTAATTACCCTGGAACAGCACATGCACACACAATACAAATTTCTTTGAAGGCTGTAATTACCAATTCAATTACTACTTTATGATTAACTTCAAAATGCACTTTTATCGTTGCTGCTTGTCAGAATGTAATGGCTTGGTGATGAGTTCATTCAAGAAGACCACATAAGCAAAGGTATCTTTCATGAAAACACTACAAATGGTTCCAACATTTACTTGCTATGATGCTGTAAAGAGGAATCTCGGTTCATGGTAGAACATTCAGAAGACTCCTTTATTATGCACACACTGAACCTCTCAACAAAAATCATCATCCTGGATTTTAAAACTGGCTGAACAAACTGACCTGAATACATGCACTGCCAAGTAGTAGTCAGACAAAGCCACATTCTTAGGCCATGTCTGTATTTTAGATCAACTCGTTTCAACTTGATGCTCATTTGCTCCTTCCAATATTCTAACGGTACCCTACTTACGGTCTCTGTCAGGTTCTGCTCACAGAGTTACTGCCATTAATTAAAAAAAAAAAAACCCTTTTGATGTATTACATAGGCTAGGATCACTTCAAAAAATAACACAATTAATGACCAATACATTATCTCATCACGGAGAGATACTAGCACAGAATTTCACACTAGATGACATAGAATAAAAAAGACATAATGGTATCTATATTTCTCCTTCCCTTTGGATCAGGGAATGGATGGTCATTTCAGCATCTGATTGGTGAAATTTCATACAAACAGAAGAGCCACAGTGGATCATATTACAGGTCCACCAAGTTCAGCATTCTGTTCACATAGTGGCCAATCAGCTTCCCATGGGAAACTTACAAGCAAGGCACTAGAGCAACCCCCCACCCATGCTCCCCAGTAACTGGTGCATGTAGGTATATTGCTACTGACATTGCAGGCAGCATATAGCTAGTAATCAACAGCCCCATCCTTCATGAATTTGTCTAATCCCCTTTCATGCCATTCAAATTAGTGGCCACAACTACATTTTGTGGCAGCAAATTCCAGAGTTTAAATATGTGCTAAGTCAAGAAGTACATTGTCATGAATTTCCTACCAGTCAGCTTCATGGAATGACCCCAGGTTCTAGCATTATTAGAGACTGAGAAAAATGTCCCCCTATCTAATCTCTCCACATTATGAATAATTTTGTATGCCTCTATAGGTCTTCCCTCCTCACTTGCCTTTTTACCTAAACTAAAATATCCCAGATGGTATAAACATTCCTTTAAGGTGAGTTGCTTCAGCTCCTTTATCATTTTAGCTCCCTTTTATTACATTTATTCCAACTGTATGATATCCATTTTAGGTGTGGTGAATATAGACAGCATTCAAAGTTTGGTGCCCCTCAGATTTGTATATAGGGAACATGATACTGGCAGTTTTATTTTCAATTCCTTTCCTAGTTATGCCTGACATGGAATTTGCCTTTTTTCACAATTCCTGGACAATGACATTTTAATCAAGCTGACCCAGCACACCCCCAAAATCTCTTTCTCTGTTAGTTACTGTTAGCTCGGATAACATTAGCCTGTATCTGAGGTTGTGAATTTTTGACCTAACATGTATCACTTTACACTTGCTTCCACTGAACCACATTTGCTATTTTCATTTCCCCAATTTGATGAGAACCTTCTAGAAATCCTCGCAGTTCCCTTTTTTTAAAAACCACCTTAAATAATTTGGATTGCCACTATGAATTTGTCAAAAGCCTTTTGGAAGGCCAAATAAACAATGTCTACCAAAATACCACTGTCCACAGAACTCTAAAATGTTAGTGAGACAGGATTTACTTTTGCAGAAACCATCTGATTCTTTTTTGACAGGGCTTCTTCTCAATGCATATCAGTTTTACCTTGACTCATTCTTTCAATGGTATTTCTTCAGAACGGATTTTAAACTAACTGACCTATAATTATCCAGATTGGATAATTATAGGCCAGTTACAAAACTGGAGTTACAGTCACCATTCTTCAGTTCTCTTGAACAAAGAATGATCTTAGGGACATGTCACAAATTTGTTACCAGATCAGCAAGTTCATATTTGAGTTGTTCAAGAACTCTGTGATGGATACTAACTGAACCCAGTGTTTTATTAACTGTTAATAAGATTGAAAAGGTCATCTTTAGTCACTACTATTTGCCTCAGTTCCACACACACCCTTCCTGAAAACAGCAGCTCAGGCACAGGTATCTTTTCTGTATCCTTGTCAGTGTAGAGGAATGAAAAGACCTTATTCAGCTTCTCCATGATAACCTTATCCTCCTCTGGTCCTTCTTTAACTCCATTGTCATCTGCTGGTAAAATAGTTTCCTTAGCTGGCTTCCTGTGTGCAAAAGTTTAACAATTCTTCATTGTTCATTCTGATGTTATTAGTAACATGTGCCTCAAGGTAATTTTTGAATCTCTTATTGTTTGCATGGACAAGCTCATACTCCCTTTTGTTTTCCTCATGTGGGCAAAACTTCCATTTTCTGAAGGACTAATACCTTCCTTGACACTTCACATCAAACAGGCTAGTGACTTCTTGGACCTGGTGCCACCTTTCATATCTTATGGTCTCTATTCTAGCTGATCTCCTGTTATTACAGTTTAGAGCATGGGTCCTCAAACTACAGCCCGGGGGCCGGATCCGGTCTGCCATGCCCATTTCGACCCGCTGCGCATGCGCCCCCACACATGCCCGCCGCTGCCCACCTTGCCCTTTGCACAGGAGGCAGTGAGAAAATTATCTCCAAACGAGCAAACTGCTGCCTCGTGCGCCCACCTCACGGCGCGTGCTCGCCCCTGCCTCCCCTCCCCTCTCCTTGCCGCGTGCGCCTGCCAGCGCCTTGCTGCGCGCCCAGCCCCCACTTCAGCGCGCATGAACACACGCGCCACCCCCGCTCTCTCACCGGCCCACGCGCACCACTTTTCCGGCCTGTGCCCAGCACCAGCACCTTTCAAGTGGCCCCCTGGTCAAAAAGTTTGAGGACCCCTGATTTAGAGTAACCTCCCATATTTTGAAGGAATTTAATCTCTTGATTGTCTAACTAATTTTTTTTATCTGTTTCCTCATTTTAAAGAAGCTTCCTCGTTTGGAGTAAAATGTGACTGCCTTGGACTTCCCTGACAATTTTCCATTTCAATTAGGGATGTGCAAGGAGTCTGTCTTTCTCTCCCTGGATTCTGGTCCTCTTTACCATGGCCCTGAGTCCAAGTTCCTGGTGAGTGTGTCCACTGTTCACAGGGTGTTCACCAAGAATCCAGTACAAAGAGCACCCTTTTTCCATGTCCTGCAGCCACTCTGTGAGCGGTTGCACTTGACAGGGGAGGTTGCAAGTTGTGCAACCAGGGGTACGCAAGCATTTGTGAACTTCTTCTCATCTTGGCTTGCTTTTCAGGGCCAGGCTGAGCATGGCAAGAAGCCCACAGATGCTAGAGTAATGGATTCCAAAAACATTAATCCCAGCCATAACTTCAATATATATTATATATTGCTGCTCTAGCATATCTGTGATCAATAGAGATCACAGCATGACCATTCTGTGCCAACTGAGGTCCCTATAATCTGTTCGTTATAATCAGTAATCATTATTACTATGGTGCTAAGAACAACAGAAGTCCACCAAAAACCCTGATCTACCATTTAATGTATCTTTATAAAAGAGATGAATAGAAAGCAATTCCAAGCTAAAATATGGAATAGGTAAAAAGTGATTAGTAGTCAGAATGACTAATCAGTGGATTCCAGCAGAGGAGCTCCCTATTTGTTAGTTTCTTTGCAAGCCTTGAAATAAAAATCGAATGCTGACTGAATATTATACATTTAAAGATGCACATTTACTTCTTTTTACAGAGTAAGGGAGAAAAGTATAAATCTTTCTCTACCAGCCACTTTTATACTTTGAATGATCCCTGGCTATTTTTGGATGTAAATATGCACCTGAGACTTCATGGGGAACATCACTGGAAGGATGTTATTTTGAGCAGAAAACTGTTACGCTTCCCCTTATCTCTTCAACACCACAGTGTATATCATTGCTTTACATCCATTTTTATTTTTAAATCTAAGCTTTGTTATTCACATATAATGTACAGCTTGCCCCAAGACCAACTTTGGTTGGTGTTTTCTTGCATCAGAATGCAGATTTCACAGCAGAACATAGAAGCAGTTTAATACACCATAATCCTGGCATCTTCATTACATGTTATCAAATCACAATAAACAGTGTCCTCACTTCTTAAGAGTATGCAACAATTTTTCTTCTCACTTACAACAGTTTATTTTAAAAGAGCTTTTTTGGGAGGAACTTCTTGAAAGTAATTGAGAGAGAGCCAGACAGTTGATCAAAGATGATCACAGAACCTGTTCCATTGGGATTGTCCCCTTCTCACATGCTACCATTAGCCACCAACTGACCCTGTTCAAAGGATTCCAGGAGAAAGAGGGAGACCATCACAAAAATATTGCTTCACGCTCCAGCCAGATGGTCCATCCCTTCCCCAACAGGGTTTTCCACCCTCAGCTGTTCTGTGGGATGGATCTTTATGAGTTGGTTTAAAGTGGTTGATTTAGAGTGGCTTGTATTAGTGTGTTTTTGACTTACCCGCAAGCTGCCAAGAAAGAATTTTACCTGAAAAGCAGGATATAAAGAATTGAAAATGAACAAATAACATTTCTTTATCTAAGTTATTTTGAGTTAAAAAGAAGAAAAAATGTCTCATTACCATCTCTTAAACGTTCTACTATAAATGTGAAGCCTGTAGTTCTTGGGTGCAAGACATATTCATATTTGTGAAGTCCATTCTTTTCAGCAAATTTATTACTGCGGGCTTTGGTGTCGTCTATGAAGATAAAAGGCACAAAAAACACTGATTAAAATCAATGTAGTGGCTAAGCTTTAGAAGAGTTTAGCATCACAGAGCACATCATTGTAGCAAGGGATCAAGGAGATTATAAGAGCATGCTTTCCTTTAGATTAATAATGCCATGAAATAATACTTGTTTTGATTCCTTACATAAACATGTAAAATCTTTAGTCCCCAATCTCATTCTTATTGTACAGATTATAATTGGCAAAGATGTAGTGTGTGAGCTCCACAGCTTTGGACCAAAGCTAGTCCCAATGATTTTGTGAGTTGTGCTAGTAACACTACCTGAGGAAAATCCAAGGTCCTTTGCAGAATGACGTATCAGGAACTTTATGTAAATATTCTATTTATATATAGAACATTATTCCAGCAATTTGTTGAAGGCAAGCAGACAGAGGAAAATAGTGAACAGAGATCTAGCAGTTCTTGGTGAACTGCTGCTATTACCCCAAGGCACAGTCATTTAGACACAGAAGCAAATTACAGTGCAACTGCTCAATGAACATCAGATTGGGCTAAGACACTAGAACAAACAAGGTAAGAAAAATTCTACAGGTACTATATTTGGACAATATCTAGGTTATGGATGGGAAGCATTTAGAATATTTAGCAAACCTGACATACAGAGGCAATAGTTATAAGGAGGAACAGTGGAAGCCAGATGCAATATTTTGAAACCTGATATCTGCAGCAGGTCTTCACCTTTTTAATTTGTAAAGTGTTATTGCTGTAACTCTCACCACTCCCCTCCCAAATAAATCTCCAAACAAAATTCAGTACCCCTTGGACATTTCATATTGTCCTATCCTTTCCAGGGAATGTTTCTTACATACATACATCAGGTTCAGCCTAATCCCTTTGGACTGTTTTTTGGGCTTCCTGAGATGAAATGGACTTTCTTCTATTATCACCAAAACCAAAGCTGGATCCTTCAGTAGTCTTCCTTCAGAATTTTCTTTGGAAAGGGAGGAACTGTGTCACCACAATTAGCATCCTCCCTACAGGGGAAGGGGCATAACTAACAAGTCCACCTTCTCATAGGGTGAGTTTTCTACAAATCATTGTGCATTTGGGGAGGGCAAGGATGGAACTCTGAGATAACTATTCCAGTGTTACCAGGCTTCAATATGGGGGGGGGGGGAGGCTTAAACTGTTTTTCAGTCACAAAAACTCTCTAGTCCACACACCTATTCTTCTAAAACTTCCCAGGTTCCTCTCTTCAATACATCTCTATGATGAGTGGTATTTTCATACAAACTTTCCCAAAAACCACAGAAGGAGGGCAACAGGAGCAAATCACTTTGCCCCCACTCCAATCTGAGGATTTCTCTTTGCACAAAAACTATTATACCTAACCTTTTGAAATTCTGTAGCTTTCTTATTTAGGATGACAAGACAATCTCTGCTCTGTCTTTCATTTTGAGGAAAACAAACAGGGATACTGTATTTTCCTCCTTTTCCTCTGTGTGTGTGTTTGAGTGTGCATGTTTATTTCAAAATCTTGAACTGCATCCATTCATTTGAAATGTAGCAGGCCTCATACAATCAGGAGGGGCAGCTACCAATACAGATTTCATCCAAATTCTACTAGGAAATTAAAACATTACAAGCAGTTGACTTTCTTAAAAAGTTGACTTTCTAAAAAAGGTAGCACAAAACCCACAACAATGATTTTTCTTCAATTTAGCAGGTGTAAGCTCATGCCTATAATTTATGTGGTACAGCAATCTTAACACTACTGAGGCAAATCAGTCTGAGCAGGATAGGTCTGTCTTTTGAATCACTAAATTGAAGTCAGAGTCAAATCTCATAGTCTTTTAATCTCTGCATTAAAAATAGCCATGTTTAGATAACCTGAAAAGGTAACAAGCAATGATAAAGCATGAAATATTAACAAGTGGGAGAATAAGAACAGTTTTTTAAAACAAAAAACTTTTTTTTACTGTAAACATTTCAAACTGGATTCATGCTGCATAAAAAAACAGAAGTAGTGTTAGGAAACAACATAAATTCTTGACATTACTAGGGAAAATCATAACAGAATTTGATCATCTTTATCATAAGGATGTGTACTTTCCCTTCTATTTCATCAGTTTTGAAGAAACAAATTTCAGCATTTCAATTTATTTCTGAATGCAAGTCCAGCTGTCATATGCAGGAGGCAACACTTAAATTTGGTTAATTATTTATTCTACTTGTGAATGAGCATGTAGAAGTAGAAGAGCCACTTGTTACCTTCTGTTACACAGCATTGCTTTGCCTGGCAACACACTCTAAGAATAATTGAACTTCGTGGCTCTCACATATAAGATGGGGGCAAAAATAGTCTTCAACTACCTAGCAACCTGGCCAGCAGAATTCTGGTACCATTGTACATCTTGATAAATTCTAAGGTATCAGAGGCCCTGCTGGGTAGATAAACTGTTGCTCTGCTAAAATCAGAAATGCGGAGAAACACTGCAGGTGAAAAAGTGATTCCTAGACTGCCATCTCAACCTTAATATAAACTGGAATACACTTATCTTTCATTTTCAAGCTTTATTCACTCCATATCCATTATCACCACCACCCCAATCAACTAGGAACTTTTCATGCTTTCAACTCAGTGCCGATATTCATTCTATCAGTTAGCAATGCCATTACTCCAGCCTTCTTCTCCATCAACACCTTTCACTGTTATATTCTTCAGCCTTCCCTTGTCCGTCTGTCCAGAACTCTACTTGCATATGAATAGTTGTTCAGATCATGCAGAAGGCCTTCCAAAAATTCCTAGACTAGCCTTCCCATTGTCTATCATATCTGTTTTCTTCATATGCTGATCCCTGATATATCACTGGATAGTATCTAGTGCTGTCACTGCATTTTCACTCATTTTGTTGCACAAGTGGGAACCACAGGTCTCACAACATGCACTTCTGGAAACAAGCGGAAATGCTCATTTCTGGTTGGTTTTGACTGCTACCTCCTGTTGTGCTAAAGTCTGTGAGCACAGTTAGGTATGGCCCTGTCTATAGCTTTTGTGCCTCCAATCATATCACCCTGCTTCTGTTATAATTGTCTCTTCTCCCTTCCGTACCTTCAGAGTCCGGAATGCAGCGGAAGTAATTTTTGCTATTATCCTTGCTGGGCCAAATGTGAGCCCCACAATATTAAATTTTCTATATAACACCATATATATGTTCAGTGCCCCGTCTAAAACTGGAATGTATAGTAGTTCATAGAGCTTTTTATGGAAAAAAATAACATTTTTATTCTTACCTAAAATTTAAGATCTAATGTTCTAGTGTCCGGACTGTGACTGAAACGGTTTAGAACTTAATGTACTACTTCAAATATATTCCAGAGCATACTTTCAAACCACTTGCTTATACAAACCACAAGGAACCGAAACTATGACCAAATTTGCTATAAAAGCCACTTCCCATGGGCAAATGTCATCCCAAGAATGGCTTATTTGGTGCAGAAAATATTTCTAAAAATTAAATGTTCTTTGTAGCCAATTCATCTTTTTAAAATTTGATTTACTGAAACAAAAAATAACTTGAAAAAGAAAACAGAAGTCTCATCCACTGTGGCTTCCAAGGAGCTTTTAAAGATAAAATGTTATTCATATAATAAAATGTTTATTAAGACTTGCAATGTATGACTGAGAGAACTTACTTTTAACATTGTACAATTTTTAAAACCCTGCTACATTTTTTTCTACAATAAGATTGTAGGGGGCACAAATCATTTAAGGTACCTGTGAGATCAGTTCCTTCAGGAAAGATGAGAAGCTGCAGTGGCTCACGAATGTCACAGAAGTAATCCAGCATTTTTTCAAAATGATTTTTGTCTTCTTCCCATTTCCTCTGAATGAAAATGAAGGCAGCAACTTGCATGGCCCAGCCTAAAACAAGTTTAATGAATCTTTTAAACATAGTACTGGAACTGTTTTGCTTCTTATCCTTATGTATTTCTTATTCAGTAATTTACACTAAAAATGACTATGATGTATAACTAAGACTATGAGAAATTTTTCAAACCACATGCCAAAAAGTAGAGAACATCTGAGCAATTTAAAATTAAATGTGTGGCACAACATGTCTTGTGTCATGTCTTTTTGCACCATCCCTCTGCTGCTCTCAACTTTCCACCATTTTCCAGCCCCTCAGAAGCCAGAACATCAGCTGTTCAGAACTTATAAAACTATACAGATTAAGTTTCCAAATAATTGATATTCAGTTTTTTAAACATATATCTGCATATTTGAATCATTAAATCAAGATCCTAATTGAAACTCAAGTAATTAGGTCAACTAATTTCCACTTGCAAAATCAACTTCCCATTGGTGCAAAATTTACACTGCAGAGTGACCTTGGATGACCTTACGTTCCAGTGGGCAGGGATGTAAGGATGCAATAAATGCTGTAACTTCTCTAGCTCCAGCTCCACCCTGCAGAAGCCCCTTTTAGAGGAAAACTTCCATAAAGGAAGGGGGAGAGGCAAAAATTGTCTTTGATGCTCCTTATGCCCTGCTAGGAACACCCAGCACTAGGTATGTGAAAGTCGAACAACAACATAAAACAGGGTTCTACCTTTATTATTTATTTATTTAATATACCAGGGTGTAGAGCAGGGTCTTCTCCAATGTAGCACCCAATTTGGGAAATTCCTTGCTCTGGTATATGAGATTGGCCCCTGTATTACATAGCATCTGTAGATGAGTTATATTTATTTGAAATGGCATTTATTGATTATATATCAGCCAGTTTTATTTACAGTGCTACTGTTTTGAATGTATGGTGGACGTCAGATGACTGTTTGTTACTATGGAAAGGCATCAAAGACATTTTATAAAGAGATAAACCCTAACACTGCAACCCAAGGCAGTTCAGGTCACTTCTTCAACAATACAACATTTCGAGAGAATAGACACAATGGGTGAATCCTAATGTCACAACCTCTTTTTAATGTAGGGTGATCTAAAACAACTAAAACTTGGAGGTGTAAAACAACTACTGTTTCTTTAAACAATGTTTTGGCAATGCTCAGCAGTTGCCTCTTTTGAGGAGAAGAACATAATATGGATACTTTGCAAAGAAAACTAATGCCAATGTTCTACTTAACTATCTACCCATTTCTTGGGAGTTAACATAGACAGATTTTCTGTACCCCTTTGACAGTAAAAAGACTGCTGTTAGAACACTGGAAGGATGAAAAGTCACTTCTGATAATTCAATAGATTGAGGATTTGGCAACACTTTCAATATATAAACAGGCAGTATTTAGCTGCCACATATGAATGAATAAATGCATAATTATTTAATCTACCTTTACTGAAACTTTCATATACATTTTAATTAATAGCAGTAGCTCTCTTCCATATTTAAGTAGAAACATACATTCATATGCTTCTATTCAAATTGATCCATTCAAATTCCATGTAAGAAACTATCATATTATTTCTTATTTTTCTTTTTATGTTTTCTTATAATTGCTTTTATTGTGTAGAAACTCACAATTATTATTATTAACAATAATAATAGTAAAAACACAGAAAAGCCATGCTGAATCAGAGCAGAGGTCCACCAGTCCAGCATGCCATACACATGGTGGCAACCAACTGCTCACAGGATCATGCAAGCAGGATGTGTGCAAGATCTTTGGCTGCCCAAGCTCCTCATCAAATGGTATATGCAGGCATGCCACCTCTGCTGAAGGAGACAGCACATAGCCAGTAAAGCTAGTAGGCATAGTAATTCTAGTTCTACTTCCATGAACTCATCCAATTCTTTGTAAACCTAGATTTGTGGCCATCACTATTTCCCATGGCAGTGCATTTCATAATTTAACTATATGTTGTGTGAAGAAGTACTTTCTCTTGTCTGTCTCCCTCTCCATTTTCTTCATTCTGTGCATAATTTAAACACTTCTATATGTTTCCCCTTATTTTTTTTCTAAGCTGAACATTTCCAGTTTTTGCAGCTATTCCTCATAAAAAAGATGAGTAGACATCTATTTGTACAATGGGATTTGACCCTCTCTCTTTCTCTCTGCAGGCCCCAACACTCCTAGATGCTCTAGAGGGTCACCCAACACTCTGAAGATTTTGAGGATGTATTAATAGCTGTAGAGACTATTACACTAATTGGAAAGAATGCAACATTTCCTCTCATTAAAAATTCTTCATGCTTATTGCCTAAAGAAGGTTTTTGACAAAAAACAGCAGTTTATTTTCAACAAATATATACTACCTATCCAATGTAGTACTCTTGGCGGTTTACAAAATGTAAAATCATAAAATACCCTTAATCAAATAGTTTAAAACCGCTATGAAAGAACATATTAAGTACATAGCATAAACCCAGCAATAAAATAACCAGAGCAGAAAATTAAACACCCTGTTAAATTAAACAACCTCTTTAAATTTACAAAAAGTGCAACCCATTACTTCTCTTTTCCTTCTCTAATTCAGGTTAAATGCTAAATGACTTATTGTTCTTATGTGTGACACACGCACACGGGCTAAATACATAAGAAAATTTAGGCATGAAGTACCGAAACTATCGTATTATACACGAGTTTGATCTTGAAAGGCAAGGTGTGACACAGCATGGCATGTCGGGCATCTCGATCCTTCCCCATTTCTACTCCCCCTCAGTAGACACTGATATCTTTCACTGTCAGTCAAGTCTCTGTATCATGCCATCCAGCAGTTGTTCAGATTCAAATTTTTCAATCCACTTTAATTTTTAGAAAGCGATTTTGTCTCTATAGCCACAGTCTGCAACAAAATGGCATGCAGAAAATGGTGCATGGTTTGTGGTTTCCTGTGGTGGCCTCACTGCCGATTGGATTAGGCACTAGTGTTTAAAAAGCAGACTATCATATCAGAAGTGAGGACTCCTAAAAACCAAACCTCTGTTAAATGTGCACAAATTATTTCTTTGAAACGTACCATGCAATCAATGTTAGCCTTGATGTTCATCTCACTACTTGAACAATGCAACCTTCAGTCAATCAACTGGCCAAAGAGGTTTGACCTCCATTCATATACAAAGTGATTCTCAGTTTAAAAATTGTGTTTAAAACACACACACAACTTTGTTTATTTTTCAGAACTCAGCATTGAGATTCTGGCCTGCTAACATTAAGACACTGGCATCTGACAAGTCTCTAACATGTATAGAATTTGCTAACCATACTCTGTAACATTGGTCTTCAATTTAGTTGTTGACAACTTACTTGATAACATATTTCATCTCTATCCTTTTCCACAGTTTGAACTATTACTCATATTCTGCATATTTATTTATTTAAAACTTTTATATGCCGTCACCACATGCCTCGGTGTCTCGGGACGGCTTACAAACCATCTATAACTTTCTACATGTAATTTTTCTACAACTACATGTAATTCTAGATTAAAAGTTCTACCAGTTTGGGAGAATTCTAATGCATATTCCTACAGCTGCAATTACCAAACCTCGGCTGTACTTAGGCTATCAACAATAGACAGGATCCAAAGAGGATAAGTGTCAGAATTCTACAAATTTTGGGTGGTCCTTACTATTTCATCAAGATCCTGCCACTCTTGAGGGTGTGGGGTCCTGTCTCTTAACAACATACTGAGCTTTGAAAATATTTACAATCAAGAATCCCTCATCAATGCCTCCTGCATACCAACCAGACAGGACTCCTCTGATATGTCAAGGGACGTCACACACCCATGGCAAATGGCCTGGCAGTGATCTGACTGTCCCACCGGCAGAGCTGAGGCAGGAGGAAGTGAGAGAAATTGAGAACAACGTAGCATACTTTCATTTCCATAGTGATGGAGGTACTTTGGTTTCAGCAAATAAACTTGGAAGAATTGCATGTGTGATCAAGGGTCATTAATCTTTTGTCACTTTGAAAAACACTACCATCACTATTCAGCGTATGAAGCTCCTATTTGCATCAGAGGGAAAGACATGACTTATACAGATTATCATACAGAAACATTTGGTTTATTCATACATAACAACAACCCAAAGTTTAAGTTGTCATTGAATTGTAAATTATCATTGAAGCATGGTCTGTCATTATGTGTGAACACTGCACTAGGGTTTAACTATGGCTTAACAACAAACAATCCATTACAAACTAAATGTAGGATTTTCACATACTGATAACCAATGATTCAACAAAAATAAATGATTCAAAAATAGTCCATACTCAAGCAGACTCTGGATTATTATTACATGTAAACCAGGTCACTGCAGTATCCTTGGTCTACAAACAAGGCTACCAATCCTATAATGTGATGATAAATAATATGATACCTGGGGGTATCCACATTAGCCTGCAAAGTACCCTATTGATACCTTTGTGTTACTGAATTTTGAAATTGTTTTTCTGAGTGTCTGGGAATTTTTTAAACTGAGGGGCTGGCCTCCACTCATTTGCTATCATTATTTCCTAGAAACAATGAATTAGCTATCTCACTGCAGCTTTTCATTCCTCTCCAAACCTGCTGTGAGGGATTAGGGAGGGGGACTGATAGCATGCTGCAAGATACATATAACACTGAATTTAGCCTATTCTGAGAAAACAAAGATGGTGTGGCAACTGGACATTGATGCTTCACTTTGCAGCTCTCCCGCCTACCTAAAATGATTATAAAGAGGAAGGGACAGAGGCTGTTGCCACTTCCTGGAAACTAGGAAAGCTGAGAGAGAGCATCAGATCAACTGGGGAAAGATGGGAAGATCAGCATAGAGCTGATGTGAAAAGATACACTGGGGTGATGAAATGGAGAGGCTGGAGCTAGGGAAAGAAGATTGCAGAGAACAATCAGAGAGACGCCTGCAGGGCAACCTAGATAGGGTGTTTTGTAAGTATGTGCACATGAGAACATGGGGGTGG